TGCCATGGCACTCTACCCAGGGGGATAGCTTGAGGCTCCGTCTCAAAAAAAAAAAAAAAAAGATTATTTGTCTTCTGTAAAACAGTCTATTGCTTGGGATTTATATGCAAAATGCTTATATAAAAACTCTTCTCCTTAAAAGGAAACATTGAATTAAAATGAGGTTTTATCAGTGAAATTTATACTTAGAATATTAGAGTAACTTGACTGAGAATATTTTCTATAGTGATTTAACAGACCATTTGTTAATTAATCTTTGAAATATGAAATTATGGTTGGTGCAGGGAATACCTGATAGTTTGGTAATTGCTGTTTAGATTTGTTGCATTTCAGAATTCTAAATGCTTATCCGTAATTTCCTATCAAGTTAAGCTACATTTTAACTTGTTGGCATTGCCAGGCCAAAGAATGTGCTTTTATATGACTTCATCAAGTTAGGATATATAAAGAATGAAGAGTCTTTAAAGAAACCTTTTTATCTTTGTTATATCTAGTATTTTCCTCCAAAATTTTTTTTTTTTTTTTTTTTTTTTGGCCGGGGCTGGGTTTGAATCTGCCACTTCCGGCTATGGGGCCAGCACCCTACCCTTTTGAGCCACAGGTGCTGCCCTTCCTCCCAATTTTTTAATATTTTATTATAAAACTTATTTTTTCCATATGACGATAGATTTATTACTGTGTTAACTCTTAAAAGTCTTCATTATTGTAGTTCCATGCTATCAGTGATGTTCAGGACTCATTTTTTGATAAATATCAAATTATTATTCAAGGTTTTAATGCTTTTTAGAACTGTACATTAGGAAAAATGCATGAGTGGAGGAAGGGAAGTCTAAATTTTAATGGCTGTTTAAATCTTTTGAATAAAAGACAGGTTACTTCACCTGAACAGTAACCTAAATTATAGTAGCTAGCCAGTTTCTTGAACTGTAGGAATGCAAAGATACTCTTTTGGATTTATACACTCTTGGTAGGGGGCCTATAATTCTACTTTACTAAGAACAATTTAAAATTGAGGAAGAATAAAGTGCTGTAAGTCAGTCCTGTGACATTATACTCTCATGTGTAAACCCTCCCTCCCCTCCTTTTAATCTTAACATGCCTATTATCTAGTCAAACTAGAGTAGGAAGGGGAATGAATGTGGTTAAGGTGTTCTCTTTTTCTGAATGTTGGATTTTTTTTTTTGAGACAGTTTTACTCTGTGCCCTGGGTGGAGTGCCGTGGTGTCCTAGCTTACAGCACCCTCAAACTTCTGAGCTCAATTGATCACTTTGCTTCAGCCTCCCCAATAACTGCTGGCCAGTTTTTCTATTTTTAGTGGAGATGGAGTCGCTCTTGGTTTTGCTCAGGCTGGCCTCAAACTTCTGTGCTCTGGCGATCTACCTCCCTCAACCTCTCAGAGTGCTAAGATTACAGGTGTGAGCCACCCACCTGACCTCTGAGTGTTGGATTTTAATATTAATAATTTTGATTGGCTCTGTCATTTTTATCTTGCAGGATTATAAGAGACTGTTATTTCTATTACTCTCCTTGTTATAGTTAATTGGATTCTATGCAAGATAATTGCCATTTAATACTGTTTGCTTAACATAGAATTTACTGCATTATTAATCTTTTTTCCTACCTTCCACTAGCTCCAACTACCGTGAATGTAACACATCGTCCAGTAACTCAGGTGACCACAAGACTTCCTGTACCAAGAGCTCCTGCAAACCACCAAGTGGTTTATACAACGCTCCCAGCACCACCAGCTCAGGCTCCCTTGCGAGGAACTGTTATGCAAGCTCCTGCTGTTCGGCAGGTCAATCCCCAAAATAGTAAGAGACTTTTATTGTACAGGGCTCCAAGATAAATGTAGCTCTCTTCAGCATTCAGTTAGAGTAGCTTATATTGATGTTAGATTTTGCAAAAAGTTTTTGTATTTATTAAAACTGTTATAAGTTCAAGAGCTCTGTTGTACAACATGATGACTGTAGTATAGTTAATAACAATGTATTGTATACCTGAAAATAGTTGATAAAGCATATTTTAAGTGTTGTTACCACAAAAATATGGTAAGGATATGAGGTAATACATATTAATTAGCTTGATTTAGCCATTCTACAGTATAGACATATTTCAAAACATATTGTTGTATATCATAAATATATATAATTTTCATTTGTCAATTGTAAAAGCAATAATAATTTTTAAAAGAAATGGCAGGAAATCACCCCAAATCCCTATTATTATTATTATTATTATTGTTTGGGATTCATTGAGGGTACAAAGAATTAGGTTACACTGATTGCATTTGTTAGATAAAGTCCCTCTTATACTTGTGTCCCACTCCCAAGATGTGTGTTATACACTGTGACTCCCATCCCCCTCCCACCTCCCCTCTCCCTGATCCCCCATTGCCCTACTTCACCTATTGTATTAACTCATCTACTGCCTTTGTGTTAGAATTGAGTATGTTGGATTCTTGTTTCTGTATTCTTGTGAAGCTTTACTAAGAAGAATGTGTTCCACCTCCCTCCAGGTTAATACAAGAGATGTAAAGTCTCCATCTTTTTTAATGGCTGAATAGTATTCCATGGAATACATATACCACAGCTTGTTAATCCATTCCTGGGTTGATAGGCATTTAGTTTGTTTCCACATTTTGGCAGTTGTAAATTGAGCTGCAATAAATAGTCTATTGCAAATGTCCTTATGATAAAAAGATGTTTTTCTTCTGGGTAGATGCCTCATAATGAGATTGCAAGATGAAATGAGAGATCTAATTTGAGTTCTTTGAGGATTCTCCATACTTCTTTCCAAATTAGTTTGTAGCCTGTGGAAGTGTTCTCTTCTCTCCACATCCAAGTCAATGTCTGCAGCTTTGAGATTTCGTGATGTGGGCCATTCTCACTGGTCTTAGGTGATATCTCAGGGTAGTTTTGATTTGCATTTCTCTGATCATTGGGGACAATGAGCATTTTTTCATATATTTGTTAGCCATTCATCTGTCTTCTTTAGAGAAGGTTCTATTCATGTATCTTGCCCAGTGATGCAGGGGATTGTTGGATCTTTTTTTGTTGATTAATTTGAGTTCTCTGTATATTCTAGTTGTCAAGCTTTTGTCCGATTCATAATATGCAAATATTTTTTCCCATTCTGAAGTTGTCTGTTTGCTTAATTTTTGTTTCCTGAGCTATACAGAAGCTTTTCAGTGTAATCAAGTCCCATTTGTTTATTTTTGTTGTTGAAATTGCTGCGTAAGTCTTGTTCATAAAATCTTTCCCCTGGTTGATATCTTCAAGCGTTTTCCTCACTTTCTTCGAGGATTTTTATTGCTTCATGCGTTAGATTTAAATCTTTCATCCATCTTGAATCTATTTTTGTAAGTGGTGAGAGGTGCAGGTCCAGTTTCAGTCTTTTACATGTGGTTATCCAGTTTCTCAACACCATTTATTAAATAGGGATTCCTTTCCCCAGTATATGTTCTTGTTTGTTTTATCAAAGATGAGGTGGCTGTAAGATGTTAGTTTCATCTCATGGTTTCCTATTCAATTCCAAATGTCAATGTCTCTATTTTGTGCCAGTACCATGCTGTTTTGATCACTGTGGACTTGTAGCATAGCCTAAAGTATGGTAGGGAGATACCCCCAGGCTTTGTTTTTATTACTAAGAATTGCCTTGGCTATATGGGTTTTTTTCTGGTTCCGTACAAAATGAAGAATCATCTTTTCCAGATCCTGAAAGTATGATAATGGTATTTTAATGGGAATTGCAGTCAATTTGTAGATTACTTTGGGAACTATAAACATTTTGACAATGTTGATTCTCCCCAGCCATGAGCATGGTATGTTCTTGCATTTGTTAATATCTTCTGGTGTTTCTTTTCTTAGGGTTTCATAACTTTTCTTTGTAGAGGTCCTTCACCCCTTTTTGTAGGTATATTCCCAGGTATTTCATTTTTTTCTCAGGCTACTATGAAGGGAATAGTGTCCTTGATTAGCTTCTCACCTTGGCTGCTGTTGGCAGATACAAAGGCAACTGATTCGTAGACATTGATTTTTATAGCCTGAGACATTACTGTGGTTTTTGATCATTTCCAGGAGTCTTGTCATTGAGTCTTTGGGGTTCACTCGGTATAAGATCATATTGTAGACAAAGAATAAGAGTTTGACCTCCTCTTCCCCCATTTGGATGCCTTTTATTTCCTTCTCTTGCCAATAAAATCAGGCAAGAACTTCCAGCACTGTATTCAGTAGTAGTGGTGATAGATGGCAACCTTTTCTGGTTTTAGTTCTAAGTGGAAAAGCATTCAGTTTTACTCTGTTCAGAATAATATTTGCTGTGGGTTTGTCATAGATGGCTTCAATCAGTTTAGGAAATGTGCCACCTATGCCTATATTCTTAAGTGTTCTAATTAGAAAAGGATGCTGAATTTTATTGATGCTTTTTCTGCCTCTATGAGAGGATCATCTGGTTTTTGTTTTTGCTTCTGTTGATATGGTGAATTATGTTTATGGACTTGGCATATGTTAAATCAGCCTGCCTTGCATTCCTGGGATGAAACCTACGTGATCATGATGAATGATTTTTTTTTTTTTAAATATCTGGCTATAATCTCTTGGCTAGGATTTTATTGAGAATTTTTGCGTCTGTATTCATTAGTGAAATTGGTCTGAAGTTCTCATTTTTAGTTGGGTCCTTTCCTGGTTTTGCTTCATAGACTGTGTTGGGGGAGGTTCTTTCCTTCTCCATGTTTTAGAATATCTGCAGCATGGATATAAGCTCTTCCTTGAAAGTTTGATAGAATTCTGGTGTGAAACCATCTAGACGAGGGCATTTTTTTGCTGGGAAATATTTTATTGTTTCTTTGATCTTAGTTCTTAAAATTGGTCTGTTTTAGAGTTCTGTTTCCTCTTGGTTAATTCTAGGGAGAGGGTACCATTCTAGGTATTGATCTATTTCCACAAAATTGTCAAATTTCTGAGCATAGAGTTTCTTGTAGTACTCAGAGATAATCTCTTGTATCTCTGCGGCATCTGTTGTTATTTCCCCTTTATCGTTTCTGGGTTTTGTTTGTTTGTTTTGTTTTGGGTTTTTTTGGAGACAGAGTCTCACTATGTCACCCTTGGTAGAGTGCTATAGTGTTACAACTCACAGCAACCTCCAGCTCTTGAGCTTAAGCAATTCTTTTGCCTCATCCTCCCATGTAGCTGAGACTACAGGCATCTGCCACAATGCCTGGCTATTTTTTGTTGCAGTTGTCATTATTGTTTAGCTGTCCCAGACTGTATTCCAACCTACCAGCCTTGGTGTATGTGGCTGGTGCTGTAACCTCTCTGCTACAGGCACCAAGCCACTTTATCCTTTCTGATTGAGGTTATTAGAGATTTTACTTTTCTGTTTCTAGTTAATTTGGCCAAAGGTTTATTGATTTTATTTAGTTTTTCAAAAAATCAACTTTTTGTTTCATTAATTTTCTGAATGATTCTTTTGTTTACAATTTCATTTATATCTGATTTAATTTTGGTTATTTCTTTTCTTCAGGATTAGATTGTTCTTCTTTTTTCAATTCTGTAAGATGGTCCATGAGTTTTTTGATGTGCTCTGTTTCTGTTTTTCCAAATGTAGGCATTTAATGTGATAAGTTTCCCTCTGAAGACTGCTTTTGCTGTGTCCCACAGGTTTGCGTACTTGTGTCTTTATTGTTGTTAATGTTTGAGGAATTTAAGAATTTCCTCTTTTATCTCTTCCTAAACCCAACTATCATTCAACATAATTGTTTAATTGCCATGTCTTTGTGTGGGGATGAACATTTTTGATGGAGTTGAGTTCCACCTTTATTGCCTAGTGGTCTGAGAAGAATAAGGTATAATTTCTATTCTTTTAATTTTGCTGAGGTTTCTTTTGTATCCTAGGAAGTGGTCTATTTTTTGAGTATGTACCATCAGCTGATGAGAAAAATATATATTCTTAAGCTTTGGGATGGTGTGTTCTGTATATGTCTATTAATCCCATTTGTTCTAGGGTCACATTTAAGTCCTTTGAATCTTTGTTTAGTTCTGTTTAGAGGATCTGTCCAGATCTGTCAGAGGGGTGTTAAAGTCCCCAGCTATTATGGTGTTATGGGATACCATATTGCTGAGGCCCATCAAGGTCTGTTTCATATATCTGGGAGCATTTAATTTGGGTGCATAAACATTTAAAGTTGAAATGCCTTAATTGTTGTATTCCTTTGACTAGTTTAAAGTGTCCTTTTTATCTTTCTTTAGTTGCTTTAAATTCTGCTTGTATCTGAAAATAAGATTACAACCCCTCCTTTATTCTGAGTTCCCTTTGATTGAAATACTGTTTTCCATCCCTTAACTGTGAGTCTTGATTTGTTCTTCAAAGTTAGGTGTGTTTCCTGGAGATAGCATATGGATGGCTTGTGCCTTTTTTAAATCTACTCAGCCAGACTGTGCCTCTTCAATGTTGAATTCAATCCATTGACATTTATTGAGAAAATTGATAAGTGTTGTGGAGGTCTATTCATCTCCTTTTGTGAAAGTCTGTTGTATAGTTTTATCTTTTGCATCATTGTGGAAGCTTAAGTTTTGACCTTTAGCTTCTGGATGTTTACTTTGCTGGTGGTCCATTATGATGGTCGGTGTTGAGAATAGGTCTAAGTATTTCCTGTAGAGCTGGTCTTGTTGTGGCAAATTTCCACAGTGTTTCTTTTATCTGTAGAAGACTTGATTTCTCCATCAGTTTTGAAGTTTATTTTAGCAAGGTACAGCATTTTAGGCTGAAAATTATTTTGTTTAAGGATGTTGAAGGTGGATGATCATGTTCTTCTGGTTTGGAAAGTTTCAATTGAAAAGTCTGTTGTCGGCTTGGCACCCGTAGCACAGTGGTTAGGGCGCTGGCCACATACACTGGCGCTGGTGAGTTCGCACCCAGCTCAGGGCTGCTAAACAATGACAATTGCAACAAAAAAATAGCTGGGCATTGTGGCTGACACCTATTGTCCCAGCTACTTGCAAGGCTGAGGCAAGAGAATTGCTTAAGCCCAAGAATTTGAGGTTGCTACGAGTTGTCACGCTACAGCACTCTCCCTAGGGTGACAAAGTAAGACTCTGTCTCAAAAAAAAAAAAAAGAAGTCTACCATCATCCTAATGGCTCTGCCCTTGTAGGTCAGTTGGCGCTTACTCTTGGCTGCTTGCAGAATTTTTTTCTTTCATGGACAGGTTCATTATAATGTGTATTGGAGAAGCTCTGTTTGAGTTGAGATGACCCAGAGTTCCATATCCATCTGAAAGAAGTGTGTAGGGATCTTTAGTAAAAGTTAGGGAAGTTTTTATTTATGATAGTCTCCAGTAGGGCTTCCATTCCTTTGGGACAATCTTCTTCCCCTTCAGGCATCCCTATTACTTGTATGTTTGAATGCTTCATGTAGTCTTATAGTTCTCTAAGCAACTGTTCTGCTTTCTCTCTCTTCTTTTCTGCCTCTTTGACTACCTGTGTTAACTTGAAAACTGTATCCTCTAGCTCTGAGGTTCTTTCTTCTCCATGGTCTAACCTATTTTTCATATTTTCCACTGCATCTTTATATTTCCTGATTGTCTCCTTCATTTCCTTAAGCTCTGCCATATCCTTTCTATATTCTACATATCTCTTGTTGACTTTTGGTTCTGTCTTTACATTTTCTTGTCTGTTCCTTTTTATTATCTTTATCATCCATATTTTAAACTCCTTTTCTTCTGTAGTAGCCACTTCATGGTCCTTTGTAGGAGTTGCTCTGTTTTGGTTTATCACATTGCCCAAATTTTTCTGTTGGTTCTTTTTCATCTGTTCTTTCTACTTGTTCACCTCCTTGTCATTTGTTCTCCTTCTTGCTTCCTCATTTGCTTCAAATTACCTTGTCTCAGAGCAGCCTGAACATAGCCAAACTCTTCCTTGTGCACAAAAATACAGGAGAACTTGCTATAATGCATCAGATTTCTACCACTCCGGATTGTATGCTTTATCTAGCTCACTACCTCTTTGCTGTGCTCCCTGAGTTACTACTCCAGGCAAGGTTCCCAAACCAGGTATGGCTGGGTTCTCTCTTTGGAGAGCTCAGCTGAATAATCCTTCTGGTCTGCCATCTTGCTCCACCTCCAAACACTGCCATTATTAATTCATTTTCCCTCCTTTAGGGGAGTTAACCAGAGACAATCAGGTGCCACGTACTAGTTGATTTGTGTTACATGTGTTGTTTTCAGTTTAATTATTTATGGTCTGTACTATTACAGTACCCTATTTAATGATGGTTTATTCTGCTAAGATGCACCTTACTTAATTCAAGAGGGAATGATCTTCTGCCTAGTGATAGAAATCATGGTAGAGAATAGCCTCTAGTGAGAGAGTCTTAATGATATGGAAGGTGGCTGAGAAATAAAAGAAGGGAAAATGTTGAAGGAAACTTGTAGTTTTCTACATAGTATATATACATATGTATATTATATTATACATATATATATATATTTTTTTTTTAGAGACAGAGTCTCACTTTAATGATATGGAAGGTGGCTGAGAAATAAAAGA